AAAAAACAATGCGATTGTTGACTATTGTTTGAACAATATGTTGGTAATTATTATTACCGGAACGCCAACACACCGTTTATGATGAAGTTAGAAAATGAATCTTGAATCGCTTTGTTTAAATCATTCGTTAAAATCTCGGCAGGAAATTCAACTTTCCTTTTTCACACACGCCTATAGGTAATTTAAGTCATTTGTTTATAAGATTGTGTCTTCCTTTTCAAAACACCAATACTACGCATTATAAATGAGGTCAGGTTCCAAATATGTTCAACAACGAATTTTATGACGTAGAGGCTCGTACAAAACGAATAGCATGAAATCGCTAAATTAACGCTAAAATAAATGGCAAGCTTGCAGGAGGTGATAAGGCGCGCTAAAACAAGAAAATCAACTAAATGATTAGTGGTCCGAAAGTCCACTGTTTTCGATAAAAACGTAGCTGAAACTACAGTCAAGAGCCAGTCCGACCCTGGCAGTTTTACGCAGTGATATACAGCATTTCAACGCCGTATTCCAATCAGCGTTTCTTTTGTATTTTGTGTTCTCAATATTATGTTAAAGTGTACTTTAAATAGTACTACATACCTACTATCATCGATGAACAAAGTAGTTATTTAAATAATTGTTATCGCAATGGACGTCATAAGATTAATATGTATAGTAGCCTAGTAATAAGTTGTTGATATTTACTTTATTAGTTGTTCTACAACTGTCGCTGTTTACATTTTTCATCTATGTAGTTGATTTTCTGTTATCACAGATTCTCTGTACGTTGCGAATTCACGCCCAGGGCCGGCTTCCGATTGCAACCTCGTCTGGTTTTCTTACAAATGTTTTTGGTAACACTCTCTAAAGTTTATTACTTATTTCAGAAACACCATGTATATAGATACAAATTATAATATTAAGTAAAACTTTCGACAGAAGCAGTTTGTGATTCAGACGTAATGCATCAGTAATGAGAATAAATTTAATGGTTAAACTTTTCAATTTCTCTATTGAGATTGAGACTAAGTTAAATGAATTTTGTATGCTGTGGCGTAGTCCTTTAACTACCTATACAGCATCCCTAAAAATAGCATTTTCCATTGTTCACCAACGCTGAGCTTTCGCTAGGATTTCAGTTGCAGCTACCCTTCATTATAAAGTTAACTTTCATTAAAATTGTTCAACATTTAAGGGTCTACGACAATAATGCGATATTCTAACGAAGTTGAAATGATTAACGACCCTAATACTTAATATTAAAGGCAATGAGAAAACTGGAAAACATGGGAAAAGTTCAAAGTGCATGGCACTGTCCACATGATACCTATTGATTTTCATTCATGAAAATGTAAGGGAAAAAATGTTCATGTTATAATACTTTCTGTTCGTTTTCTACAT